ATCAGAGTTTTGATGACTAGATAAAGAAGAAATTGACGATATCAAATGCGTACGTTATACAACGTGTCGTTACAATCACGATATTAAATGAATTCGCGTCTAACGCTACTTGCCAATAATCATAAAAAATATAAGGGTTAGAAAAATCCATAATTGAAAAAAATGTTTTTCGAACAAGCTAATTAAATAAAAAAAAAAAAACAAAATTTGTAACATCCTATACAACTACAACTGACTGATTCATACACTCAGAGACTTTTTCATTCGTTGCGACAGCGTCGCATTACAAATCTCTACTTCTAACAGTATGTTGTATTTCGTTTATTAGTTTTGTGACCTTTAAAAATGAACTTTACGTTACAGTTCTATACAGTATGGGTGTTCTAAAATTGTTTGTTTTGGAAAATTTAATAACTCTGTAAATATTGATGTTTAAAGAATGTAAATGTTTAATATCATTTTAAAAAGTTACCCTCTATATGTGTGTTCATTTATTGTCGCGGTTGTAACGACACGCTGTATACAAGTAGCACAATGCGACAAAACTCCTTTTTAAATGAAGACAAATATCTCAAGACTACTGCACGCGTTACCAGTGCCCTGCACTATGTTCAAATGACTTTTACAGTTTACAGCAAATGGCGCGAGAATAAAATTGTTCCGGTGACTTACAATTGGTACGTGGCAACGGAACTAACGGCATTTTCTCAAACATGGGATTGGATTGTGCTAGATGTCCGTATGTTATTAAAAAAATTTCATAACCATTTTGTGGCTTAGCTGATGGTAAGTAAAACAAGCAACGCCAGAAGAACTCCTTAAAAATAATTGTACATATAAATAATAACGGTGCAGAGAGACTGGAGCGTAAAAACAATATAGTTCTTACGCTCCAGTCTCTACTTAATACGCCTACCATTCATTCATGAATAAAATTTTCATCCAAGAAAAGAACTGGAAAATTCATGGTACTTTTAAATATCGAACCCATGAAGGTTTGGAACTTGCGAAGCGGACGGTGAAGTACTACAGTTGCAGATGTACAAAAAATTTAACGGCCAAGTTCGTGGACCCTTCTTGCGCGGACTCGTACCATTATATAAAAATACGGCAAAAAAAATCATATCTGTTGCGTGGGAGCCCCCACTTATATATTTTTTTATTCTGTTTTTTAGTATTTTTTGTTATAGTGGCAACAAAAATTCATCATCTGTGAACATTTCAACTGTCTAACTATTCACGGTTTATGTTATATAGCCTGGTGACAGACGGACAGACCGACAGACAGCCAGACACACAGACAGCAGGGTCTTAGTAATAGAGTCCCGTTTCACCCTTTGGGTACGGTACCCTTAAAATGGAGAACATTAATTTAGTCAAATAGGTCCAGCATAGCGAGCTCTTTAATCGAAAAGGCGCTTTGAATTTACACTTCCTATTGCTGCTAATATCGCCGACTGAGGAACGATTATACTTTCAAGCGCATTTTCAATGGAAGACGCCGGGACGGCCAATTCCCGTTCGCCTTGAGGGCAGTTTTTATTTTAATTGACAATAGTAAAACTTCGCAGGTCTTAATTGAGAGATTCAGTTCTTTATGTTTGCGGGTTGAAAGCCAGTGTACGCAAGAACTGGCTTGAATAATCAAAATTTTTTAATATACTTAAAGGTTGGTAAGATTAGTGCTAGTGCTTGGGTTGGTTTTTTTCGAGGTGTGTCTCCGTCTTAATCGAAATTTCAGAATTGTTTACGTTAATTATGTGTGGTGTCTGAACATATTTACGGTACTTTTACAATCTATTACGTTTCATGGATGGAGTACAAGAATGTAAAAGAAACAAACCACTTTATCTTTACGATTACTGTACTCTGTAATACAATTATCTTGTACAGATTACTATAATGAATATTACAATACTCAAAAATAAAAAATATGAAAACCCCAAAATATGACAATATAAAAAAAAGCGTGAAAGCAAATTTAAACCTGCGGGAAGTTTATTAACTTACAATAGTATCAGAATTAAAATAAAGCGTTTAAGACCTAATCATGGAAGGAAATAAACTTGTGCTGCAAATTAATTTCTGAAATTAAAAACACTTTCATAAAAAGTAAATCTGCGCGCAAACAAAAAAGGAAGGAATTTAAATTAGTTGTTCCCTTCATTGGTAGCTTACGAACAAGCATATTTTAATATTATAGAAGCTCGTTGAACTGGCGAGACGGCCGATGGTTTTTAGTCGATGTTTATCGACGATTCTTTGCCGGGAATGGATTGGCAAACAAGTTGCAAGTGGGCACCAACCGAGGGGCGGCTTGTTTACACGCTCAAAGAGCGACATCAGATTCAGGAATTGCCTTCGCATCGTTCAAGATTACTTTTAAATTTCCAAGTGTTTGCATTTAATTTCGAATGAAATTAAATATATTCCAAGGAACTACCATCTGAAGGAACGGAATATTGTTTTAGCAGCTGACAGATGTTTATTTTTACATATTACCTGTATTTTTTATTGCTGTTTAAAAAGCTGTATATTATTAAAATGAGACATAACATCTACCAGTTTTCAATCTTCATACTATGACTTATTTAAAAAAGACATCAACTTTTCCAATAATGCAAAAACATTTTTGGCTCCAGAGGCTTTGCCTGAGCGCTGGCATTGTGCCAACGAACATAAATGCTATCTATTCGACTTCAGCTACCTGATTAAATTTTAAAGTCTATATCTTTTCTTATCGTTTCAGTTACAATTTGTACATTTTTATAACAATAAAATTTTGTCCCGATTAGCTACACAGCAATTCGTGGAAAAACTCCAGAAGAAATGAAATAGTTCGAATCTTTCTTTGATCGTGTAATTAAAAACCTTAGAAGACGGAATTAATAAAAAAAAAAATACTGTAATAGAAATATTAGAAAAGGCTATTAAAAGTTAGGTCGAAAAGAAAAGTAATTTGGATTTTTTTAAAGCCAATTTGAATTTTGTAAATTATAAAAGTATCTCCTTAAAAGATATTACGTTAAAAAGAAGGTATAAATTGTTGAACATCTGTAAACAACCAAAACTATATTATTTATTTATACGTATAAAGGAAAAGTTTTCCTTTGTTTCCTGAAAATGAAACGAATCTAATATTAAAAGAGTAAGTAAAATCGAGCGCTCTTTCAACGGTAGCCAGAGAATTCCAATATTTACATGATTTAGAAGCATCGTTGTCTTGTTGTTTATAACAACAACAACTTGTTCTTTTACTTTGTTACGCTCTCAAAAATTGTAGCATAACTTTATTACACCGATGAATCATTATAGAAAATTTATATTGACAATTTTTCAAGAAGTTTCTACATCCTTCCTTGTTGAAATATCTATAGTTGGCCTTCAAATATAACTAATAATTGTATTTAAATAAACCATATTTTGCGAGGAAATAATTTGAATTGTTTTCTATTTTCATTTTAAATTAACATTCTATAATGTCGGGATGCGAGTAAGTTTCTTCTGAAGTATTACAAATCGCGAAAGGTACAATTAAAGTTAATATTGTTATTAGATAAAAAAGAAGTATCTTCGTTACATAATAAAGTTCCGATCTCCTTACAAGTGATGGTGTTAAAAATTCTTTAGTGAGACCCTGTGATCTGATATATAAAATTCTCGTGTCACGGTGTTTGTAATTGAACTCCTCCGAAACGGCTCGACCGATTTTCGTGAAATTGATTGTGTGAAATTTATTGATTGCCGATTGTGTACATATCGGCTATGGTGGAGAATCGGACAACATCTATTTTTCATCCCCCCAAATGTTAAGGGTGGACCACCCCAAACATTTTTTTTCTACCATACAAATAATTTATATGGCAAAACAACGTTTGCCGGGTAAGCTAGTCTAATATATAGTTTAGAGTACATAAGTACTTTATAAGTTTATCACTTAATGATAAAGTTAATTTTAATACTTTTGTGGTATTTATGGTCAACAGTAAATAGGTATTAAGCCGTTTTACAAATAATTCTAGAAAGTTCAAGGAAACGAACCTTGGCCGCCTCGGAAAATGATACGCCTATTACAGTATTTGAGCTGAAAGTTAATAGCCTCGATAAGAAATTCCCCGCTTTGGTCCCACGACCGTCTTCGTCCCGGGATCGATCAGGAGGTTGGCTTTCCGCCAGATGACCTCTGCGTCCATTACTATCGTAATTACAGTTAAGAACCGGACACAAGGAGTATTTTTTTATTTTGCTTCTGGATGTTCATAACTAACTATTATTGTCATTTAATAGCTAATTTTAAATTTGATAAAACAATTTTTAATAGACTAATATATATATATATATATATAAATGCAGTCTATTATTTACGCTAACGACCGGTCGAAGTGGAAGTCAATGGGGGAGGCCTATGTTCAGCAGTGGACGTCCTACGGCTGATATGATGATGATGATGATGATTTATATCATAGCACGTCCATAGCTACGTTCACCGGTTGGTACACACTAAAGCTCAATCTTCCATTTTTCCTAACAACGATGTCATATAAGATGAAACAACAGTACTGGTTCTTACGCCTTTAATCTCTGAAAGGGTAAACCAAAAATAAATTATCGAACTAATCAACTACTGTACTTTTTTTTTAATTATGCTACATGTAATCAATTACATGTAGTATAATTAAATAAAAGGTAGTGTGATGATAATAATAGCTCTGAAAACTTAAGTATTTGTGAGTTTTGATTAGTGGCTTGTGGTAGCTTACGGTCTATGGTCTCCTTTAAGGTTATGAAATGCATTTTTCGTATTTGTAACAGTCACGTTAAATAGGTTTGGCGAAAGGTAGAAACCAACAACTATCTCTAGCGACACCTTAAGGTAAAATTATATTATGTAAAAGCTTGATACTTGATCGCCAATCTTCAATGAATCACTCAAGCCAGCGAAACCTCCGTGTCCCAGTTATTAATACAATCAAAACGAATTAAATTATCGCAGTGCTCACCGTTATCCTTTTCAGCAGCCTCTTGCCCTTATGCCAAGTGATGAGTGCCGGAGGTCGGCTGCCCGCCGACTCACAGGCGACTTCGTACCTCCGCTCGGCGGTGAGAACACCCCCCTCACCCATTTCCATCGGCTTCCTGATCTCGACGGTGAGGGGCCGCACTGCAAATTTCGTACCGTCTCATTAAACTCGTTCGCAGTGAAACGGAAACCCTTGTACACTTAAACAGATCCTCGCTCCTTTCATTTAGTTTTTTTTTTGGCGTCATTTCGAATCGCTGCTGTTTTGAAAGCGCCATCGTTTGAATGAGTAGATTTCGAGTGTCTTTTTGTATATGACCTCTGTGGAGCAAGATCTCCACGTATCTGAATGCTTTAATGAATCCGAGGAATGTGATTATTGACGGAACATATGCGCTATATAACCATATCCCACGGATTGTGCATTCTGATTAAAAATATTTACTTACATATTGTGTATTCAGCGTATTTTAACTGAATTTTCTGTTTACATTGAAATGAGTTAAAAAAAGTAAATATAAAATGTATATAGTCGGCTCATAGGTTCTTTCATACTCGTACAATGAAAATTTTTAAATTTTGAATGCTTGAAAAAAAAATTTTCCTGAATTCGAGTTTCTATTGTTTTATCAATTGAAATGTGCAGTATTGGAAAGTTTATATACTTACGGAACATATCGAGTACTAAGGAAAGCTCTTTGGGCGGCACTAAGTGTGAATTGGCAGCTTGACACGTGAACACCGCAGCGTAGTCTGCCCGCCTTATGGCAGGCCATAGAAGCCGGTTCTCTATGACATCACCGGTATTGTGTTCGTACTCCTCGTCCACCAGAACACCGTTAACAAGCCATCGGACCGATGGTTCCGGACGACCTGGATGAAACTTAGTAACTTAATTTGGTAGCAAATTGAAAACTGATGACGAAATTTTTTAATCCATATAAACGTCAATATACGAGTTAAGTATCAGATAAGTGATTGAAATAATTGTCATTTATGAATACTTGGCCATTTCGAAAGTGTTAAAATAGGTATTAGTACAACAAATATGTTGTATTAATACATATCTCAATATATTACATACATGATAGATTTTTCTTGATCACTTACATGATTTTTATTGGTTGGCAATTGGAACAAGTTCTGAAGATTTGAAACTTTAGAAATGTAATTTTGTTGATTGAAAATTATATGAAATGTTAACTATGGTTACTGGTACTATGGTTATTACAACAACAGCACAAGGAGTTGAAACAATTCAATGAATGACGAGGTCTTAACCAACATTATTCAGCTAATAAAATTAAGTAAATAAATGATACAACCATTGTCATCGATGATACGACGAATACAGTGGATGAAGTTTAATGGGAGAATAAAAAGAATCAGTAGGATACTTCTTATCTGATCCATAAAACAGAAGTAGGTATGAAAAAGTGAGAATAAAATCTTTACAAATATGGTCTAAAATCATGTATCGTAAAAAGCTTGTCTGAAGTATGCAAAATTGTCTTTATCTCTAATGACCAAGTTTCTGATGTTTGCTACGGAAAAACTTTTTCCTCCGATTATTACAAAATTTGAACCGTCATAGCGGCATTATTTATCTGTATTCCCTGCTCTCTGCAAATGCTTGCGAGCAACAAACTTCGTAATATCTCATTAAAAGTAATCGTGAAATCAAAGTAGCAAAACTTTACTCCATGTCATCAGAAACGCGTCAGCGTCTACGAAATTATTTTTTCCGAGGCGTTTCTGCGACGTCGGTCCCAATCAATGTTTCGATTATGTAAATTCCACACCCCGAAGGTCTAATCTTGTTTTGATATTTATTCACAAAAAATGAACGATTTTACTTTTACGGTGTTTGATAAAAAAAGCAATCTTATTGCCGTTTCCCTTCGATATTATTATATATATCGATATATTTTGTACAACTCATTGATGATGAATAAAAAATGAGTGTTAAAAATAATGATTTGCTTTCTGCCGAACGAGTCTTTAATATTTAAAATAATAGGTGCTTGTTTTTTTTGCATTCAATACAATACTATGACCATGGCCGTCCGACCATCTAGGACACTTTAATACTTCATATAAAGCAACTTATATTCTGGGAGAGCAAATGAAGTTGAGAAATACGTAATATGTCAGTTGCGGCAAGATCTAAGACTTTTTTAGCACAGCGCGAAACTATCTATATTATCACGATTATACTATTACTTAAGATAGAGTCAAAGTTCCATTAAACGTAAGATCATGTTAGCGGAGTGGTTTTTAATGGGAAAGTAATCATAAATTAACTTACCCCCCAATACACGGCATGTGAGAAGAACATCGTCACCTTCCTCGTGAGGCCCGAGGGTGGTTGTGTTTATGACGCGCCCCCATCGATCCACCACTACTGGTTTCTCTGGTGGCACTACAAAAACATACAAAGATAAGAAAATTGCTGGAGTGAAAAATACTCTTTGAATTTATTTTTGGAGTACTTTCTATTCATAAAATAAAATAATTTTAATTTAAACCGCCTTGGTAATATAATTCTGTGAATATATTCTGTATACCGCTAATCGAACAAACAACTAAAACACAAAGGCCCGAATGTAAATTGACGACAGGCTGTTACGCAAAGTGCAAAATCGAGTAACGAATTCAAAAATCCGGGAGAAGAATCGAAGTGAAAACGAGCGGAGAATATAAAACAGGCGAGATAAATGTTCCGGCCATAAGCTGAATGATCAAATTTCAATAAAGGACCTTCGCAGGGGGGTGAACAGACGATGTAACGGCGTTATTTAATTAAAGGGCCAATAGCAAGTACGGTCCCAATCCGGATCTCATTCAGAGAACGTCTCATTGGCGTAATGCAGTAGATTTTAATCGGAGCACACCTTTTGTGCTTAACGACCGTTAATTAGAAGAAATGCATTCCTTTGTTGTAACCATATTATTGATAATGCTCGACGAAGGCATTTTAAAGATTTTGTGACTTGATGTGAACATGGAAGGTAATTTACAAAATCATAGCACCTGTTTGACCATTTTGTGCTAATACAATAAATGTGCCTTTAGAAAGTTGTAATAAATATCTCTGTAAACGTATGCCCATGTTTTAAAAATAAGCAATGTTGTGTTTTAAATTGTAATAATCATATACTATTGGATCTTTTTTGATTAAGATGAAGAGAGAAAAAATGGCAAACACTATATTTCATTCACTGTAAAAGAGAAAAGTTAAATGTGAGTTTAATATACAAGTTATAAGTATAGTATTTTTATAATAAAATAAATTTTAGACATTTTTCTTACTAAACTAAACTAAAACTTAGAAAGTAATTGCACTAGCGTGGAAGAGGGAAGGGTTGTGAATTTATTATTATCTGCAATATAATTTTTTGATTCTCAAACCAATTGTTTGCAAAGCAACTAAGTTCCCTAATTTCTCTTGAATGATGTTTCCAAGTTTTTTTATTATTCCTGCTTCTTGTACTTATTCCCCTAACAAAATCCAAAGCGCGAATATCTAATCTTTTTCGTTATAATAATGTCGTTACCATAATTATGTTATCGTTGGCATAAAAATCAAGTAATGAACGAAATAATTGAGACGGATAAATCCATTTCAGCATAAGAAGCGAATGTGCTGCCACGTCGAAATTTAATTAATCGCAGTTAGCTATCGAGCAGCGGGGAGAGACGTAACGATGAGTTTGATCAAATTATAGAACATTTCATAGCGGTATTAATGAATATGGAGCACCTCGAAGGCGAGTTACAGCATTGATTGAATATTCTCCGCGAAACTTTAACAAGTACAATGGCCTGACACCTAAGGGACTCGTTAAATTATACATTTGTATGAATTCTACAACTGTAAAGAGACCCCTCTAATTAGTTTTGGGACTAGCGACTATAAACTAGGGTAGAATTTTGATTTGGTTACTTAAACTTTAATCAGAAACTTGGCGTGTAGGCTTCAATTTAATTTTGTTTCTTGATTTTGCCCAAACGCTTCGAAAAACGTCGATAAACGTTATTCATAAATATTAAATTTATTTCATTGACTGTGTATACTATATACAGCGTGTCGTTACAACCGCGACAATAAATGAACACACGTCTAACGCTACTTGCCAAAAACCATAAAAAATTACTACATCAGAGATCATTTCTACATTCAGAGACTTTTTCATTGGTTGCCACAGCGTCACATTACAAATCTCTCCTTGTAACAATATGTTTTATCTGTTTTAAATTCATTCAAATCATTCATTTGCTTTGTGACCTTTACAAATGAACTTTACGTTACAGTTTTATACGTAAGTATGTTCTAAAATTGTTTGTTTTGGAAAATAAAACTCGGTAAATATTGATGTTTAATGAATGTAAATGTTTAATACAATTTCAAAAAGTTATCCTCTATATGCGTGTTCATTTATTGTCGCGGTTGTAACGACACACTGTATACTGCACACAGTCTTAAATAATGCACAGTCTTAAATTTAATTACTTGTATTATGTGGTACTACCAGATTACTCACCAACGACTGTGAGGTTGTATCTAAAGCTGGTTGTCTGCGTGTTGCGAAAGTCTATCCGACAGCGGTATACTCCCTCGTCACGTCTCTTCACGTCACGGACGAGAAGCGAGGCAGGTGGTGGCGTGGTGGAGAAGTGGGCCCGTGGCCCGAACACCTCCGGCGCAGACCAGTGCCTGGCCTCTGATAGGTGTTTACCCCGTACGTCGAAGCTGCAACAAATTGAGAAGAGAAAGTCAAAATCTGCATATACAGCAATCTGTCTAAAAAGCTTAGGGTAGATCCTCACATGGCAAGCAAGGCCTGAGGGATTTATAATTTAACATATCTCATGTATCTATACTAGTATCACATACTGTATGTCTTATAGCAACAAATATCGTTTTAGGTTGCTATAACTCATATCGCTAAATATTTACTACTTTGAAGCAGTTGTTGAGCTATCCCGATTTGTTTGTATCTGCGAGTAAAGTGTTTGCAGTGAATCATTTTTACAACACTGAATGACATTATCCCAAGTTAAGGATATATAAAAACAAAAATGACTATCTAATCTCTAATTCGCTGTAGTCAGAAACATGTAGAAGCAAAGATAAGGAAGAATGATGAAGCAAGATAAGTTGTTTGTTTGTTTGTTAATTTGTTTTTATGTCACTGTAAAACATTATAAAATAGACATTAATATAATTTATACAATAAATAAATTGGAATTCTTTCCTTGTTTTTTCGAAAAAAAGAACATGATATGTTCAAATATTATAACCATGTCATTTAAAGATTTACAAGCAACTATTGTGATGATTTATAAATGGTATTTTAAAACCAAAATTCTAGCAAGTCGTGACAGCCGGGCGTTCACTTTTCTAATTATATATACTCACCACCTGATCTCTAACCCAGTGCCGACACCAAAGAAATTGCAAATTTTAAGCACTGACTTATTGTTCCACGATTTATTGAATTCAGACGCGCTAATATACTCTGTACAGAACATTTTTGCCCTTTGCCCAGCAGTGGAACACATATAGGCTGTACCACGAAATAACCAAAGGCACGTCCGTTTAATTCCCTAAACGGCTGAAAGCGTTTCTATTTCATTGGATGATCGCATCACAAGTGCAGAGCACAATATTTGTCAGGAAACCGAACGGCTGGCCGCAGACCGCGCGTCTATAGACGCCTATTCACAGCGAGATATTTCAGATATTGTGCTCCAGTTGCAAATGGCTATTGTACATCAGCCTGTATTGTATATAAGCTGCTCGGGTATCGCCAGTCGATACGATATTTTAGATTCTATGCCATTTTGAAAATGTCAGCTAAGAGGAAGGAATCCATTCAAAACGATGTTGACACAGAAAATGTTTTTATTGACATACCACCTCATACCTATCGGCTAGAACGGATTAAAAAGGTCGATTTAGGCTTTGTGCCAATTCGCGATGTTTTTATTATTGAGTTATCTTCAATCTATTGTGTCAAGTGGAATTTTGTCTATCCAAAAGTTGCCTGGAAGAAATTACTTCTAGTGATAAGACCGCCCATTGTACAACCCATATTTAAGTGTAATTTTTAATTAACATTTCTTGGCTTGGTGAGTGCAAAAAAGAATGTACATATCCATTCATTCACAAAATTTTACAAATAAGAGTTTCCACACCTTTAACATAGAAAAGGTTTAGCTTACATTATTCAAGTTTCAACGACTTTGAGACCGAAATCGTGACAGTTAGGAGTAACGTATTAGATATTGATTCTATATTATATATTCTAGGTATAACACATATTTTCTAATATTCTATTTATTCTATACCAATAACTTGGAAACCTTAAAATGAAATACACATTTGTGCAAGCCAATGGAATTCCAAAAATTCGGTCAAGTATCAGGTAATTAATTGAAATCATTAACTAACATTTTACATAACACAACAAATCGCTGATGATTGAGAATTTTCTTATTTGTCCGCCTACTATCAAGTACTCCAGCCCTTATCTGGCCATCCATTATCAACCAGCTACTATACTAATAGGTACCTTAAAGTTACTAGCGCTAACGTGGAAAATACCATAAACACTTTTATGGTATTAATTGACTTCTCTTGAGCGCTTAATACCGTCAGTCACGTCATCCATCCTCTCCAATGTTATGGTTTTAGATGACGTGTATAAATGTGTTTTTTTTTTTTCATATTTTTCGTAGTCATTTAATATCGGTGATTCGTTATCAAGCTTGCTTAAACTTTTAACTAGTGTTCTCCAAGGCGTTATCCTTTCTCCTCTTTTATTTTCTAGTTTTTTAAAGCTTATCGCTCATTAACTTCGGTTAGCGGATCACTTCTATGATGATGACCTACAATTACGAGTATACGAGTATATCAAGCAATCACTGACAGCCTCCCAGAAGTTCTCTCTGGCGTTAAGCCCAAAAGGAGCTCAGAGAAACGATATTTATTATATCTTATATTATATTTATATATCATAGGATATTTATTATGTATAACGAAACAATAAAAAAATTTATCGTGTATAAGAAGAGTCTAATATATGAAGTGAAACGATTTTTTTCTCACGAGGATAGTTCATGATATTTATTATGTATAACGTAGTCACTTAATTATGTGTGTTGTATTTCTCTTGTTATTTATTACTTTATTTGTGTACCACAGCATCTCGGAACCACCCGTAAATTTAAATTCACTGGCACAAATTACCTTTGGCATTAAGTTCGCCTTTACACAAAGACTTTTTTGTTCATGTTCAATTTTAAATAAATATATTTTTTTATTATAATTAGACATCGCAATTGATGTTGAACTGGAGGCAAAAGACTTTCTTGTTGTAATACTTGCAATGTTCGTATGTATTAAAACAGATGTGCGATAGAATATCTAACATAATATCTACTTGAAGGTTACAAACAGCTTATGCAATAATTTCCACGATCACTCAGCGAAACCGCTACACGAAGAAACGAATTCATATACCATTGGCGACGTCACAACATTGCGAAGATAATTTGTTGTTTTGCCTAACGTTTCGTCGTGTCATCGTAAAACGTAATAACAGCGATGACAAATTGAAACGGAGACAGGTGAAATTCGGCGCGCCGCGGCCCGCGTCGCTGCGATCGGTGCCTTTGGTGGGTCTACGCAAAGCATCCGTCGAAATAAATCGTCGAGTACGACGACCGTTCAGCAAAGCGCCGCGCGCTTCGATTTAATCCATCATCGCTCATAACCCGACCCGAAATATTGAATAGTTTATGGGTAGGCCGCAATGGGGCCCGTATAGCGTGAGAATACACCGCGGATCCCTAGCAAATTTGTGTGACAGTAAAAATGACATTCCCATCCGAGATATTTTCGTGATCCCGGGTTGGGGTGCTTTCAATTTCGGCGTGAGAAACGCGAAAATATTACTATAGTCTTAAATAGATTGGTTTCTGTTTGAATGTTTATAGTAAAGTTTAAACATTACACGTGGAAAACAAACCCCAGAAATTCCATTCACGGCCGTATTCAATATGCAAAACACATGTTAGTGTTCTGGCCAGCTGGTCGCCACGTTATATTTAAAACTCTTGGAATTGAAGTCTGTGAATTCATGGGCCGCGTGTTGGTCTTAGTTTTACTACTTATTTTTCAGCTGAGGAAATTTATATGTCTGTTGTACTTTACTTATCTTTATCAACTAGCAATCAAAATATATAAAGCCAAATATATAAGGTGCAAATTAATCTCAAACTCTTACTCTCTTACTAGAAATGAATATCTTACTCCGACTAGAAAGGAATATATCTGGTAAGAGTTAACAATATTATTGTTCACTCAATACACACTACAGAACAATTCGAACAGCCTTCATTATATACATCAAAAGCACGCGTTGTTTGGACAGTTTTATGAAAGTACAATACATGATTCACGGTAACGTTGATATGTAGGTTAACAGCTTCGCTAGTAATATGAGATATTAAATACGTTCTACGCATAAGCAAGAAATGTTATGACGTTGTTATTAATTCGTGAATTAATTATTTCTTTCCCGTTTTATTCTTTTCGGGTTATATTGTTACGCCCATATCGATATTTTGATACAACTAACTCGTGTCTTTGCTTGTACATTTATCATCATTAAAAGCTTATTCAATGTGGTAATGATCTCGTATTTATTTGAAATTTATTAGTTAACGTAAGATCTTTAAGGATTAATTGAACTTAATGCAATCGTTGGAACAAACACAAGCTTCTAAACCCAGTTACTAGTTACTCCATAGAGTAGTAACTCGTTCGTGGGGCGGTTTATACGCTTCTACAACAAAATCCCAATTAATGCGCAATTCCGTATTGTCTATTACCGGTTAGAGAAATACATTTCATAAAGGGTTATTATAATATAAACGAATACATTATTGATATTATCCCCTGGGAATGAAATGATCGCTTTCAAGCTGATTCTAAAAAAAATTGTATAGTACATAATATTCTTAGGAAAAAAATATAATGAAAAAAGAGGATAGTTGCGAAGTCGGTTGTCACCACTGATAAAACAAATGCATCAATGAGAAATGTGATAATTATATCTTAATTTTTTTCAGAAAAGATGCGATATCTAATTACAAGTTTAACTACAAAATTTGCTGCCTACAAAATTAGAACCACAGATTAAGAGGCAGCCACTTTGGATCAGGCAGGAGGTAAGTTTGTGGATGTTGTGTAGTTAGAACTTTCGCATCTATGTATTGTCACCTAATGAGTGTACGCAATAATGATAAATGAATTGTATTAATAGGTATGTTGGCGCTGGCAATACTGTACACCGGATATGACATTATCTACTCGAGTCAAGGGACACATGGTCGCATGGAGCAGCGGTCACTTGAATTCCGGCTGCGTTGCCGGACGGTGATATACTAGTGCTGCTTGTCGTTATAATAGTTGTTAATATTCAAGTTCATTAATAGTTAAAATATTAAAATCAAGGTAAAAACGTTAGAACTCTTATAGGTATTGCTGTACTAAATTTTAAAATCATTAAAATATTTTATACTGAAACCCACTGACGTGTTCACATTATAACGCTCTCATTATTAATTTATGAGTATCGAAAACAGATTAACGAATCAACGAACGTTGAACCAATAAATTACTTACATTCATTTTTGTTTATATATTTATATCACACCTTTTTAATATTGGGATGTGGTAAA